AAATTGCAACAGAAAAGGTGAAAACATAAATAAGAGAAGGGGGAATAAACCTTGATCGTTACGAGCAGTGAAAAGGATGGATCCAGATTCATCTCCAACAAGACATTCGGAGATGCGGGTGTTCTGTTGGGGTCGTGCTGGCACACGCAACGATGATGATGGATTCCTAGGTTTCTTGCTGAGTACTGTGTTGGCACTCACAACCTTAACCGTCAGATTGTGACCACTTGTTCCCGGTTTCAACTGATCCACTTTTATGAATACTGGCTTTCTCATCGCTGGTTTTGCTGTGTTTGCTGCTCCACCGGCGTTAGCCTGTTGTCGGTTGCCGGATCTGCTTGCCATGTTTGGGATGGGATATGGATGATGATGGGCAAAATCTTTGATTTGTGTCTGTAACCCTAATCCTAATAGTATTGAATTCAGAGAATTAGAGGAAATGGAGGAGTACGTTTTGAACGGGATTGCTGAATGGTTTCCCGTATGTGGCGTTGACGCTACGATAACAGCGACGTCGTTTCGCTATCCCAGAAGGCAACTGTCCCTTTTGGGTGTTTTCTTTTTCTTTTTTTATGTTTTTCTCCTTCTAAAGATATCCTTTTGGTATTTGATTGCAATTATTTAATATGTTGCACCATTTAACCATTTCATTTATGATATTCATAATGAGGCACAATGAATTATTTTTAAATGTGCCAAAAAACATGAGGCAGATGAATAGTTGGAAGTTGATTCTGAAAATTAGATTATTGGATTGCATGTTCTTATTGGTCAAAAGGAAATAATATTACATAAATAAGGAAGAAATTATTCTCTTGAACAATTAGGGACCATACATCAAATTTTGTATGGAGCTAAATTGAGATAATTCACTCAGTTTAGTATAATATTCTAGTTTGCTTCTCATTACCACTCTTTATCACAAAAATCACGTGATTGGTGTATAGATCCAAATTTGGTAACCACGACAACGGATTAGCAAGACAAAAGACGGGGTCGACCACGACACAACGACTGAAGGTCGTCCTCATAAAGGCCGACGCTAGAAGCGAACAGTTAAGATAGGACAGTAACGGTAACTTAAATTCAGAAGTAAGCCTAAAGAATATTCCTATATTCTTTATGTTGTACTTTTTAGGTTTTTTTTTTGTAAATGCCCCTTATAAATAGGAAAAGATAGGGAAGAAAAAGGGGGGATTTGCATTCCGAACAAAAAATATATATATTGTAAAGTTGAGAGAAGAATATACGAAAGAGTTGTCTTATTCATTTTATTCAAGCACATATTATTCAACATTTATCCATAAATCTCAAGATCCCATATACATCTTGACGACTTGCCTTTCTACATCGTCAGAGAAAGGAAACACCCAATCATACAATCATTGGGTGACGATTCCTTTACACTATAACCCTTGTCATTTCTTGTATTTATTATGCATTTATGATATTGCATATTTTGTCAATCATAGCATATCAAGTGCACTATTTAATGTACCCAGACTCAACTTGTTATACACGAGTTTTGTTTTATTCGGTCTAGGATTTATTAAGTTCAACTGAGATTCTCTCTATTAACTTATTATAAATTGGTTTAACATATATTTGCTCAAACAATTTGGCGCCGTCTGTGGGGAGGTTTCAATTAAAACTATAGTTCTTTCTAGATCATAAAAAACCCATCTCTTCCACGTTTACACAAATTAACGATGGCACGAAAACGAGATGCGAGACTGAAAGCGATACGAAGATGGCAAGGGAGACGACGAGAATGTGACACCAAACGCTACGCCCAGGCGAAGTATTTCACCTCCCCCTCATGAAAGCGGGACAGTTTCACGCGAAAGGAGAGCCTCCACATCCACAACTGAAGAAGCACCACCAGTAGTGAAGAAACTACTAGAAGAGTGGCTGACAAGCACTCTAAACAATATACTCGACAGACCTGCTCAAAGGGAGAACAAAAACACCGCGCAAACAGATATCGTAACAACTACTGGCGAGCAGCCCCTTCCTCAAACAGGTAACACTTACCCCACTATGGATGCAGGTAACGATGCGCTCGCACTCATTCTAAAGAAAATGGAAAAAATGGAAAACAAAAACAAGGCATTCCGCGACCAGATGAAAGAACACCAAGAAAGGGTCGACAAGATACCAGGCGCCCCAAAGTTACTACCAAAATGAGACGTTGGTCGATTCATCGAACAACCGTACAACAAAGAAGCAGCTTCATGCGCCATTCCCAAAACCTTCAAAATGCCACCGTACCTGAAGATATACGATGGTACTACAGACCTAGAAGATTATATCGTCCACTACGCTACAGCGGTGAAGGGCAACGATCTTTCGATGGAGCAAGTACCATCGGTGCTACTGAAAAAGTTCGATTAAACCCTAACAGGGAGAGCCCTAACCTTGTATTCACAACTGCCAGCTTGGTCAATTGCAACGTTCCAGGAAATGGTCGACGAGTTTGCATGCCCATGCAGGGGCTAAGAAGGCATAAGCCAGGGTAAATGACATATTCGTCGTTAGGCAATCGTCTGGTGAGGGACTCAAGGAATTTCTCGCCCGGTTTAACAGGGTGAGAATGAGCCTACCAAATGTATCAGAAGGGATGGCGGTAGCGGCCTTTCAGAACGGGTTGAGCAGGAACGGGTCGAGAGCAACCAGAAAACTATTAAGCAGGCTCATGAAATACCCTACCACCACTTGGGAAGAAATCCACAATGCATATTGCGCCCAGGTAAGAGCCGACAAGGACGACCTTAACGGTCTGACCCAATGGCCGATGTCAGTTCAAGCAGAATTGAGGAAAGATCGTCGTAATGATGTTCGAAGGGATCAGTCGGGCCCCCGTCTCAGCCGAGAAAGACATCATCCCAACATTAGAATAGCCATCCCACCACTTTCTCGACATATGGAAGGGCCGCCCAGGCCGCACACAAGGACTCAACGAAACGAAAGAGGTATGCCTCCACTCTTATCCGCTCACAATTTTTGTATTTCCCCTTCAGAAATAGTGTACGCACTAAAGAAGCTCGGCACGAAGGTGAAATGGCCACAAAAGATGAAGTCCGACCCAAATACTCGGAAGTCGAACATCCTCTGTGAATTTCACCAGGAACGGGATCACAAAACTGAGGACTGCATAGGTCTGCGACAAGAGGTAGTAAGAATTTTAAATCAAGGGCACCTGAGGGAACTTATGAGCGATCGTGGACGAGCCAACTTTGCCCGCGAACGCGAACAACACCAGGGACCTCCAAAGCCACTCTCCCCCGCTTGTACCATCCAAATGATTATCGGTGGAGGTGATGAAGCAACGATCAACCATGTGAAGTTCACCACTACGCATAAACTGAAATGGTCGATCACCCACGAACGGTACGACGACCTCGGAGACAGTATCATCTTCGACAAGTCGGATACCGACGGTTTGACTTGACCTCATTTCGATGCTCTTGTTATTACTTTACATATTTTAGACATTGATGTAAGAAGAATAATGGTAGACGACGGAAGCGGCGCGTGTATTATCTGCCCTCGAGTCCTCGCACAAATGAGACTCGAGGACAAAATAATACCGCGTTGCATAACACTAACAGGTTTTAATAATATAGTTGAGCGAACCTCTGGGTAGATAACGCTACCCGTCTGGCCAGGGGCATCACCCTGGAAACAACATTCCATGTCATGAACCAAGACACATCTTACAATGCCATCATAGGGCGGCCATGGATACACGCCATGGGGGCCATCCCATAGGGCCTCTATCAAGTTATCAAGTTCCCTACTCTATAGGGAATATTCAATATCCGGGGCGAACAACGCCGCCCAAGAATTCTATCGTATCGCCCAAGATTGCACGTACACCCAACAGATGAAGAGAACGGACGTAGAGGCATAACAATTACCATAGTTAGGGGCCGGATTCGACGTACAAATAGACATCATCAGGGACCCCGACATCATAGAAGCGGCTGAGTCAATGGTAAAAGATCTCGATCCCATCCAATTGAACAATAACGACAACAGCAAAAAGGCTTACATCGGACATAAGCTCTCAGAACCAAGTAAATTTCACAAGTTTTTTATTGACAATGCCGATCTATTTGCTTTCTCCCATGCAGATATGCCGAGTGTCCCGAAAGACGTGGCCACGCATAAGTTGAACATCGACCCACTCTGTCCACCAGTACGACAAATAAAAAGGAAATTCAATGTTGCAATCAACGAGGCCGTAAGTGATGAAGTGGATAAGCTCTTCGCCAACAGTTCCATCTGAGAATCAAAATACCCCTAATGGGTCGCCAACGTGGTCATGGTAAAAAAGAAAAATGGAAAATGGCGGATGTGCGTAGATTTCACATACCTAAACAAGGCGTGCCCAAAAGATTCTTTCCCATTGTCGCATATCGACCAGCTCATCGACGCAACAACAGGACACGAGTTGCTAAGCTTCTTGGACGCCTACTCGGGTTACAACCAAATCCTCATGGAGGAAGAGGACAAAGAGAAAACTGCTTTCATCATTCATCAAGGAACGTACTACTACAGAGTCATGTCGTTTAGGTTGAAGAATGCAGGGGCAATGTACCAAAGGTTGGTCACCAAGATATTCAAAGATCAACTCGGCAAAATAATGGAAGTTTACATCGACGACATGTTGGTTAAATCAAAAAGAAAGAAGACCACATCGATCACCTGAAAGAAGCCTTCGGCATAACCTCGGGCAATTTCTTGGTATCCCAAAGAGGCATCGAGGTCAATCCAAATCAAATCAAAGCCATTGAAAGGATACCTGAGGTGTCGACCAACAATAAACAAGTGCAAAAACTGACTGGCCGTATAGCCGCTCTGTCAAGATTTATCTCGCGGTCATCCAATAGATGCCACAAATTCTTTAACGTGCTGAAAAAAGACAATGGGCTTTAGTGGAACTCAGAATGCATTGATGCCTTGAAAGAACTAAAAGCGTACCTATCCTCGCCCCCACTACTTGCCAAAGCAGAGCCCGCGCGAGCGCCTCTAAGTATATTTGGCCTTCTCAGAAGTCGCGGTAAGTGCGGTGCTGATCTGCGAGAATAAAGGTACGCAATTCCTAATTTATTATATTAGCAAAACCCTCGTCAGCGCCGAAACGAGGTACCCCCACCTTGAGAAATTGGCCTTAGCATTGGTTATAGCTTTACGAAAGCTTAGACCCTATTTTCAATGCCACCCCATATCGATAGTGACGACTTTTCCCCTACGAAGCATCCTACTTAAACCCGAATTGTCGGGAAGATTGGCCAAATGGGCCATAGAACTGAGCGAGCATGATATAACATATCAGCTGCGAACAACGATAAAGTCGCAGGTACTCGCCGACTTCGTTGCCGATTTCAGTGCCAAAATAATGCCCGAGGTCAAGTAGGAAGCTTTTCATACTTCCTCTGGGCAACCCGACCTCTAGGTTCTTTACACCAATGACACATCCAACGCATGGGGGTCTGGACTGGGACTCGTACTCGAGGTCCCAACAAGGGAAATTATTCA